TCAAACCCACCAGGCAATTCTTAGGAGAAAGATGAGACAGTCAACTTCGGTGGAAACAGTTCTACTCCTACAGGGTCTCTGAGTCAAAACCAATTTGGCAGCATTGGTCTGGTTTTTGGTATATCATGTCAATATAATGAGCATGTATGACTTGGGTGCTTTTTTAAAGACAAATGTATTAAAAACCTGTTTAAATCGTGAGGGAGGAATCATTCTGGGAAAAAAGCATGGGTGTGGCTGCACAACTGGAGGGATGTAATCAATGTCACTGAACTGTTCATGTAGAAACTGCTGAGTTGTATGTTCTACTGTGTATGCTGTCAACAGCAACAAAAATTACATCAAAGACAAAAAACTGTTTTAGAAAAAAAATCTCTTCAGGCGGAGATAATTGTAGTTATCTCCAAAACTATAACCAAGCACCCCGTAACCAATTTCGTCCAGTCTTCACCTTTTGCCCCACACCAACCTTCTACATCTGTCCCACCTCCCTGTAGCTTCCTCAAATTCAGGGTTCCTTGAAATTGGAAGGTGGGACCACTATCACCTCACTGTCGGGCAAGCTCCTCCATCCTTGTGCCAGCCCAAACCCAGGACTGAAGCATGTATATAGCCTTCTCCTCTAGCCCAAGCTCCTGCTTTAACCTCACTGACGACACCTAATCAGTTTATCCTGGACCACAAATGTATCCACGCCTCGTTAGGGCTACTGAGACCCTATGCACAACAGAATGAAACACTACATGGTCCTGGGCCACCTTCACAGTGTTTAAACCCACTGTTGTTTTCAGTGTCAATCCATATCATTGGGTCTTCTCTTTCAATGACCCTCTACTTGATAAAGCATGCTATCCTTCTTTTTCCAGGGACTGGTCCTTCCTGACAAGCATGTCCAATGTACTCGAGTCTCAGCATCTTCACTTCTAAGGAACATTCAGGTTGCACTCTCCCAACACAGTTTTGTTTGTTCTCCTGGCAATCCATGGTACTTTCAATTTTTCCCCC